CGCATATCAAAACGGAGGAAACTTATTATTTCTTTGAAGCTGTTCTTGCCAGTTGTCTTCTTGAAAATAGGCAGTCCATATCTATCGAACCACATCATATTCAACGGCATGTTCTTCAGACCCATGAAGCCTCTGATGTAAAGTAGACCAATAGAGGCACGCAGCTTTGGAATACTTACGCTCCACTGACAACTGACACCTAAAACTCTCTTGGCCTCAGCTTCAATACATCATCATCATCATCATTACACGTTAGCTGGAGGTGGAAAACACCTCAGCTATTGTGCCGCAATACAAAAGGCAAGAAAAGAAAAAAAAACAACAAACAAACAGTGGCACGCCCGCTGAGTCCCCAGTAACGGATGGACATGTCAGCTTCAATACATACTTGAATATGTTTCAGCATCTGGGGCGTGATTATGATGTCAAAAGTGCTCGACAGCTCACCATATTTCACACATTTCTTAGCATAGGGAGTTGGTCCTGGTCTAGCCTTAAACACATTCTGTGATGGAATCCTACCAACAGTAGATGTTTCGAACTCCACTGCGATCCACGTGCTACCATCTTTCGATACGTGAAGCTCACCGAGAGATACCGAATCGGTTGATACACTCTCTCTAGGGTCCTCATATGGAGTGTAATCATCAGACGTTTGACTATCAGACATGCTGTGATCTTCTGCTGACTCATGGAAGATGGAGTCCTCATCAACATCATAATCGTTCTCGTCTCCAGCCTCGTTGTCGTCGATGGTTGTAAGTTCTCGTAAAACCTCAAAAGCTGTTTTCCTCAGAAGTGCCATTGTGTACAAAAATGTCACTGGAATTTATCTGACTGAACGCACAATATCACAGTAAAATCGTGATTCGGCTAGTTTTCACTCCCGTTTTGACTGCTATAGTATATAACTGTCAGAAATGATAGTGGTGGCTAAAAATAAAAAGAGGAACCGGATTAGAGAGAAGCAATCATTTTGACCGCTAACGGGCTTTCTAGGTAGTATGAACACAGCTACCTCTTTTCTCGAAAACTATAACAGATATGAAAACGAAAATTCACAGTAATGAAGAACGTCCAAAGATATTAAAAGTCACGAAATATCTTTGAAAAATGTCCATAAATGTAGAAAATATGTACATTTAAAAACACTGAGCAGTCAAAATGACCGCTCCGGACGTTCTAGTGTTAATAATTACGCTGAACGATCCACAGGGGTTTCGGTACGCAGAGCAGTTGAGTATGTGGCGGTCAGTCGAACTGGTAGGTAGCTTGGGGCCCTCTGCAACCATGTTAGGGGTAGCGTGCTCTGCGATTATCGCTGACAGCCTTCTCTCAGTTCGGCCACTGTACTTGCGGTAGCAAGCACAGCATGTGATCTTTGCTATGTAAAAGTTTGGGTCCGATGAGATTTTATTCGAAAAGAATTCTTAGCTTTTCATTCATTTGGTCCTGATTTTCTCACTGAAATGAGAATATTTGCTTTGCTGAAGATCAGCATTGCCCGTTATTCTTTGGAGCTTATTATTTTGGAGGTTCCCTACTCAGAAATGCGACCTGTGAGAAGATACTTAGGGTGTTTGTTTCACCAAATCTGCGCACAACCCAGCAGTAACAGAAAAAAAACTCGCGACTGCCAGCATAATGTTTCTTTGGTATTAGATCATTTTCTCGTATTGCCCTAAAAGTATTCGGGCTTTTGTTCACTTTCATGTGCGCCCAAATCTTAGATATGGACTAGTAGTAGCCCGTCCTCTCACAAAGTCCGAATGTGTCTGCTAGAGAAGGTTGAACGGCGGGGATTGGAATTCGCGTCGTCACTCCGGAAGCTACCTTACCCATCGACTTGGACGGATAAACTTGTTCTTGCTGGAGTATCTTCGTCAAGGTGTCTATCTGATTTACACCCGACGTATGCTACGAGGCGAGAAGGGGGATGATTTGCAGTTCTCTTAACTTTGTGCTGATCTTTCGACACGACTACAACGTTATCAGGTAACTTAGGTGACTGCAAAGAAGTTATGAAGCGTTGAAGTAGGAAGACGTGGGACAAGTTTCGGTCGATATAGAGCCTACACGAACTCTCCGAAGGTCAACATTACAGGGATATTGATCGATCTTGTGGCCCGCATCAAGCCGAGAAGCTGCTGTGCAGACAACATGGACAGATCGAACTCGATCAATGCTGTATGCATCTATTTCTTTCACTGCATTTGCAGTAGCAAGTACGCCTACAGAACTGCGGAGGCTATCTACATGGACCTTAGATCATATCCCCTGTAACTTAGTCGCAATTTGCCCTAAATGCCAGAAGCCGCATGTCAGTTAGGGAAATAAACAACTAGTCTGCTTCAGATTGCCGAAGCATAAGCGATTCGGGTGGCTGGAAACCACTTTATGCAGATGGATGGCCCTAGTGAGGAGCTTTGCCTCGCCTGACTGATGACAGAGTTCACATCCCTCCAAACGGAATGCCAATTATAGCCAGCTGGATTAGACGATACGGCTACGCAAATTACAGTACACGTCGACCGTCCTTGTTTCTAATCTAAACATACGATATCTGAAAAATAAAACCGCACAATGGAGTAGAACATAGTTTCACTTGGGGATAGTCGCACGTAACGTGTGACCAGCGATAAATAGAAGTTAGTGTATCTTGATGCGATTTTACTCACTTCTAAATGCCAACATGAGCAAAGAGTTGACAAACATCGAGTTGGGACAATAAAAAGTGGAGCCGGCTTACGCTTCGATTCGTGGATAGATTGAAGCTCAGTTGCTTGAAACACTTCGTACTGTTGAATCGATGTCATGCGACTGGATGAAAGCTACCATGGAGAACTAATGAGGACGGTTTGACGCATAGAGGGACGAGGCGCCACATCTTGGCAATAACACACGCAGCCGAATTTGCGTGAGAATAAGGCAGCACCATCGATACAGTTTCCTTGCTACCTTCACTCTTCAGTGTCATAAGCGACGTTATTTTACAGACAAATCAGCATCAGGCGCACTTTAAACAGGTAGACTGACAAGGAGGCAATGATACCACTGAGAGCCATGTTTCGCAGAGTCTCGGGCTAAGCAAGAATTTAATCGCGTGGACTTCGGCCTAACAGATGAGATGGAATAGTTGCACTAAAAATTCATCTTTTGATATTCTTATTTAGAATTATAAAAGGAATGTCATGTTTCGAAGTTATCAAGCTAAGACTCAGCTTTGGTTGCGCTTGGTTTGGTCGTTGTTTTCAGTTCACTCAGAGCAACGACTGCTCATTCCGAGACTCATGCTGTTCTACATTGGATAAACGAAACAAATCCCTTCCTTTATTTGCCGATTCAAAAAACCGATCTGATCGTTGCCGCTCAGTAACTTATCGTTGTGGATACTCTGTCGCCATCCAACATCAGCAATGTTGCGTAAGCAGCGACTAGAATTTGAAGGCGACTCACAACATTGGGGGGCATTTCAGAACTATTCACAACGTGGTCCAACCAACACCAACTTTTGGAGTAAATCAAACTCTTTTCTGGCACCAAAGATACCGCACATTCGTAAAGGTATAAGTGGGAAACGTACAACGTGTAGTCGGGATAATGAACAAAATGAACCAGAGTCTGATATTGGGTTGGACGTCGTCTGGTCCCATATCTACTTCGCAGCAAGCGGTGGCTTACATAAGGATGCGATCTACACCGTGCTAATGATTAGCGTCCGTCTACACAGATGTCACGTTGCATCAGAAAACTAGCCTTTATGACATGGGTGGCATAAATAACATGTCTTGGGATACACTTGCAACCGATCAACACCAATCTGCTTTGTATCTGTCCATGCTATGGGAACGTTTCACAGTTGACTTAAGAAAAAGCTTTTGAGTCTGGAGTGAAAGGTTGCCATATATATATATATATATATATATATATATATATATATATATATATATATATATATATATATATATATATATCTGGCAACCTTTCACTCCCGACACAAAGGCTTTTTCTTAAGTCAACAGTGAAACGTGACAACTGTGCACCCGACGCCAATTTTCTATCGATAAATTTGCATTTTTAAATTTACCATTTGATCTATCCGCGGTAGTTATTGTAAAATGCTTAGAATACACCTTTGCGGGTACCTAAAGCCTATGCTGACTTCACTTGAATAATGATCCTTTTCTAAACCATGCACCGAGCACAAACACTATGGCAGCAAAGGCGAGCACAAGGAGAAGCAACAATTCAGTGGAATAGCCTGAATACAGATAATTTCGCGTACTCTCATAGCTGCTTACATACAATGAGTGAAAACTTCAAACAGTTGGAAATAACAGATAGAATACCCACGAGTGCGATTTCCTTTTTCAGGGATGTGGATTAAAACAATTCCCTCGAGCAATTTCCAGAGGCGTGTCAGCCAGGCTCTTATACCCGAAAATGCGCGCAGGACCCTTCACCGGCATTGAGTTTCGCGCAAGCGAAGAGGAATGTAATGAACATCCACTCGCGTCAGCGTGCAGGTTTCCGTATCAAAATTGCATGCATCCGTCCGACTGGCGGCGCAATTGAATTGCAACTAAGGTTGTGTCATGGTTTGTGTACCACTTTTAAGAGGGCTACTTCCCTACTGGATTGGTCAATCCATGAATACTCCAAGTGAGGGATAGTAATAGGGCCGATTAGGACCAGTTTATGAGAAAATGATTGATCCTAGAGGTCTTAGCTATCATCCCCTTTTTGGCGATTGGGTTTCGGATCTAAAGCTTTGGTTGAAAACTGTAATCGTTCTACTCGGACATCGTAACAGTAATCCGGAAGAGAAGCACAAGTAAAAAGGTGGTCACCTATGTCTATTGTTAATGACGGCAGAAGTTGTCGGTCGGATAGGCCAACCATTAGGTGAGAACCGATAACCGCTGCATTTGTGTACGTGTGAGAACAGGGCAATCCAAATATCCCCGCGCAGTTACCCAATGAATGAGGTATATATTGTACAAAGATGTGTACTCGCCAAGAATTTGGGCATATCAATATTCAAAATAGGGAAATATCGGATACATTCTCGGTTCATTTGGTAACTTGATGAATTGCATGTGCAAGGTATTCGACATTGTTTGAGGACAGCCCAGCGATGCTGATTCGTCCGTCGCGCGTCAAATAAATAGAATACTCTCGCGTAAGGCGATCAACCTAGAAAACAAAGGAAAAATAATATCTTTAAAACACTCCAGGCGCGAGCGGACTAAAAACGCTTACCGGAGGATCATTTACCACGAGACCGGCCGAGAGAAATTACCAAAAGGAAAACATTAGTCATTTAACTAGACGATACGTTACCAAAACAGATGGTCAAACAGCGATCAAGCCACAGCTTGAAGGCAGCAGGATTTTCTGTTGGCGTAATAAAGGCACATGGTCTTGCGCCCACTGGTTAAACAGACGATCTAAAGAACCCAAACATCACGAGGTGCTCGTGGAGACCAAAATGAATGTTTAGTAGTGCGGGCTTTTCTTCAGACACGAGAGGTTGAATGCACTAGGACGCATAAAACACGAGTGTGACAAGGCATGCGGATGATAATATATATGGTTGGCGGCATCCGGTTTCGGATTTGCCTGTCACTGTGGCCAGACACAGGACGCCTGCGCCTACAGAGGGACAATGGGTGGCTTGCGCTGCACCACCCACACACCCCATATCCAGTGTAAACCCGAAGGAATAAGACAGGGAGGCATGTGGATGGGAGCCACGTTTAATCAACGCAGTCGGCCCACACTCCTTCACAGGCAGACACAAGCACGCTGTATTTGGGAATCAATCAAACACAAGGCGGTGGCTGGACCGTAGTCCGCTCCACACTGAGTGCATGGAACCACTCTTTGATCCTAACACAGCCACAAGGACCGTGCACCCCGTCCCCTCCAGAAACGACCAACTGTCTCCTGGAGCCAGTATGGACGAGGTAGTGGGTAATAGACAGGTAGGCACCTTGTCAACATGCACATCAAGCGCAGTCACACCGGGGATATCAAGCAACTGCCATTCACTTTAAACGACAAGCTGAAATAAAATAAATCCAATAATGCATACAGATACGGTGGCATAACTCTTCGCTAAATTACCATATGAAGTAAGTTGATTAGCAATCAATCCGCGATAAGTAAGAAATGTCCACGAGTTACTTAAAAAAGCTACAAACGCAACAAAGTTACCGAAGATAAGCGCAATTAGCGTAAGCAACGTGGCCAGTTAATAGAAGAATATTCAGGTAGGCAGAACAAACCACATAAAGTGGAATGAAATTTATTCAGCTTAAAAAGACCTAGTTTAAGTGAAAGTTGACTTAGCCCAACTGCGGTGAAGAAGCATCAAGAATGCAATATATATATATATATATATATATATATATATATATATATATATATATATATATATATATATATACAGTCGATTCCGGTTAATCGGACCACCGGTTAATAGGACCAGCCGCTTATTCGGGCCAAATTCTGAAGAACCGAAACTAATCCTATTACGCTAGCCTAATTTTAGCCGCTTATTAGGACCGGAATTCCGCTTAATCGGACCAGACGACAGAAGGTGGCAGGTAACAGAGGTGTTAAAATCAAGTTTTGTGCCTGGATGTCTGGACTAAACCCACAGTTCATATGTCGGGCAAGAGAGCGTCATTCAGTTACGGTAATCCGAGTTGGCCTTTGGATAAACTGAACTGTGGCAACCTTGAGGCACATCTAGCTAATTGGCTTCAGAACCGCCCGAAACTGACTGTAGTTTCCAACACTTGTAGACGGAGCGAAGACATACATGCTTGTTCACACGCCGTTAACCGCTCGATCGATGTACCGCACGGCCATTGAGCCGAATGCCCTGAGCCCGCATTGCGGGCTTACTCTCGAGCACGGCAAGTGATCGCGGACACACAGGTCCGGCAAATCATAGGACAGCAGGTGGCTAGGTCAACCATAGAAATACCCGGGAGACAGACCCGAGTTCACCTCAGTGAACTGTGCGTGTCTTGTTGCATGTTAAGAAAATGCCACGACGGGACTTGACGTTAGCTGAGAAGATTCGTTTCCTAGATCAGATCAAGGAACAGGGACCAACCAATGGTCAGCGTCGATTGGTGGAAATTACCTGCTTGGCAAAATCTACAATATCGCGCCTGATAAAACAAGAGAAAGATCTGCGAGAAGAATGGGCACAATGTGAAGGACGACGAGGTACTTCCCAAAAACGGAAGCGTGAGGGCAAGGATCCAGACGCCGTTGAGGCCCTTAATGATTGGTTTGCCTTTGTTACTGAACGAGCCGTGCGAGTAAGTGGCCCGATGTTAAAGTAAAAAGCAGAAGAACTCGCTAAAATGCTGGGCCACGAAGATTTTATAGCTACGGACGGCTGGTTGTCTCGATGGAAATCTAGACATGATGTAAAATTTAAGAAAGCACATGGTGAGAAAGAAAGTGCCAATAGCGCTCGAGCTGAAGAATGGAAATCAACAAAACTACCAGAGCTTCTTGAAAAATTTCCAGCTGATGACATCTATAATGCTGATGAAACCGGGTTGTACTATAGGGCTACACCGGACGGCTCCTTAAGTTACAAACATGTTACTCTCTCTGGCTGCAAAAAAGCAATGGATCGTGTAACTGTCTTGTGCTGCTCAAACATGTTCGGAACAGACAAGAGGAAGTTGCTGGTTATAAGCAAATGTGCCAAGCCTTGCTGCTTTAAGGGACTCAGAATGGACAGTTTACCAGTTGTGTATCGTGCGAACAGAAATGCATGGGTGAGCTCTACACTTTTTAAAGAATGGGTGAAGGATTGGGACACAGAGCTACAACGCCAGTCGAGAAAAGTGTTATTACTTCTCGACAATTGTGCAGCACATTCAAATTTGGATTTCTTGAAGAATATCCAGATGGAATTTCTGCCTCCCAAGACCACATCTTTGATACAGGCAATGGACATGGGCATCATAAAAAATTTGAAGACCTTTTATCGTTCAAGGTTGGTGAGTTACATCCTTGAATCAATTGAGGAAGGCTTGCTGACCTCATCCTCGACGGCCGGAGAAATCAGTGCAAAGGTCAACATTTTGCAAGCCGTTACATTCGTGGCCGAAACTTGGCGAAAAATGAGCAGTGCGACTATTCGGAACTGTTTTTCTCACTGTGGCTTTAAGCATATTGTCTCGGAGATGGATGTGGATATGGTGATTGTAAATGAAAATGAAGGCGAGAATGTGGAGCTGAAACAAGTTGAAAATTACGAAGAATTTTTGTCAATCGACAACGAACTTCAACTCTATGATGGAAATGAAGAATGCGATGCTGCCATTGTTGCTCGAATAGCAGCGAAACACACGACAGCAACAGAAGACCATGGAAGTGATGAAGAGAACCCTAACGTGTTGATGCCAGTCACAAAACAGGATGCAAGGAAATGCATTGCAACATTGCACCGCTATTTCATGCAGGAAGGAAATGAAGGTAGTCCTATTACTGCGTTACATGTTTGTGGTGATTTTGTGCGAATGCAGTCTGTTAAAAGAATGCGTCAAACCACACTGGATACGGTCTTCAAACGCTGAATGGAATTCGGTAATCCCTTTGTATAAAACTGTACTTCGCATGCTGAATATCTTGTAGGTCGTTACGAAGAATTTGTTTGTAAATTTCTTTTTCAGTGAACAAAGTTCGTTATCAAAGCAGTTCTTTTTTGTGTGTTTGCTATAAATATATGCCGCCAATACAGGTCATAATAGTAGTTTCCTATGTTATGTATAGCACGTCCCATCTTGTTACATCGGGTAACTTCGGTTAATCGGACCAGCCGCTTAATAGGACCAAAATGGTCTGGTCCCGATGTGGTCCGATTAACCGGAATCGACTGTATATATATATATATATATATATATATATATATATATATATATATATATATATATATATATATAGAGAGAGAGAGAGAGAGAGAGAGAGAGAGAGAGAAAGAGAGCCTATGGTGCGCTGAGGCTGGTGGTGGCTAGATCCTGACAGATGGTCTACCCACTGCTGCTACTGTTGCGCCATTGGCTCATGTCCTGGACGCCTCGTTGTTGCGACCGCTGGGTGGGAGTTGGGTTTCGCCCTTCTCCCTGCTAAGATCCAGGACACCAATCCGCATGAATCAGTGAACTGACCATGTGCTAGACCCGCTGCCTTTCGGGTGTACATTTAATCGAAGGCTTTGGCTGAGGACCCGAGTCGTTCTCCTGTCAAGTGTGGGCGCCCTGCCAGTATCCTAGTCCATCCTCTTCGGAGGTTAGGAAGTGGTCGATGGCCCTTTTCACGTAATACCTAGCCATGGGAGACAACAGGTCTACGGGTTATAAGCTCACAGCTCGATTGGCGTAGAGCACGGGCGTCACGCATTGTCTCTGACGGTAGGAGGGCACCTACGGGAGTTCAATGGTTTGCCACTGCCCGCCTCAAGCCAGGCAGCCCCTGGTCAAACTGGTGCAACCCCGCCAAAACCCACCTGCGCCTGGCCGTGGTCGCAGGTGCGTACCCTACTACGGTCGCAAAACATATACGAATCGTTCCAGTACCTCTAAGGCCGCGTGTGACGGCCGTCAAGCAGATCCCAATCTGTCTCTGAAATCACATTCCCGAGCTGGATCTGCTCCCCACTGCCTTCTGGGTCAGGCTATTGAGTCAAAGGCTCCGGGCGGAGTCCCTCAAGCAAACCTCCAAACCACCCACTGCCTTGTGGGTCAGGCTATGGAGCCAAAGGCTCCGGGTGGAGTCTCTCAAGCAAACCTCCGAAGCACAACGACCACCTCGCGTGCGATTGACCACCAATGCAATCGTATGCCTGCGCGAAAAGCACTCGGCATCGGGTGCTGGAACGTGCGCACACTACTGGACCGGAACTCCAGTGAGCGCCCCGAGGGACGCACTGCACTGGTCGCGATGGAGCTGGCGCGTTACCACATCGATATTGCGGCGCTCAGTGAAACTCGACTCGCTGAGCAAGGTAAGTTGCATGAAGCAGGTGCTGGCTACACATTCTACAGGGTGGGCAACGCCACCTCAGCACCACAGGATCATGGGGTCGGATTTGTAATATCCGATCGCCTCCATGGCCAGCTGGTGGGTGAAGCAACAGGCATCAGCGCGCGGCTGATGAC